TAGTTCAGTTATGCGTACTTTGCAGTGCACTGAATAGCACGTAATTTTTACGTAGAAATCAAAAAGCAACATACTTCATATCGTTACCTTAATTCACAAAGGTCCTAACCAACACATTTTTCGAAACTGCGTTTTTCACAGATTTTGGTAGGATGTATTAAATACTCCTTCAATAAAAATGTTTAGGTGTTAGTACCAAAAACAACAGAGTTATATGCCACTTTTTAAAAAGTCTTACCTTTTTTTATACCTTTCATGAGCATGAAATGGTATTATAACTTTGGTCCGATATTTGTAAGTACCAGAATAAGAGAAGATAGACCTATTAAAATATATACTTAAATGCTCAGAACGGCGAGCTGAGTCGATTTAGCCATGTCCGTCTGTCCGTCTGTTTGTATTAGGGATGTCAATCCCGGGATCCCGAGATTTCGTGCGAAACGCCGGGGCACGTATAACTTGTTTTTGACCGATATAACATTTCCCGTTGGTTTCATCCCATCCCGATTTGGACTGTCGCATAGTGTTATTTATTGCTAATAATATGCAAAAAATGTCCAAAATTAGGCAAGTGGCGCGGTTTTTTCGAATTTTGAGCAATTTCTTTTTGAAATAAGTGGCACATTTAAATGGCAAAGTCCTAGAGGACAAAATTTCCAATAAACGCATTATTTATATGTTCACGTACGACGTGTAGATCTCGATCAACAACGCGCTCAATGCAGCGGTAAGGGAGAAGCTACTCAAAAGTTTTTTCCACACCACCTCAGAGGTAAAGTTATTTGCGCGTTTTATTTTTATGTGGTTTCACCAGTAGTCCTAATCCACACATAGTTATTTTCGCCACAATAAAACTCTTTAGGATCAGAGAAAAGTCGAATTGATAACAGGACAAAAACTATTTGCTAATTACAGTTTCAACTGACTGAAAATAGTTATTCATGGGCTCTGTCTATTGGTGAACCCACAGTTGAAAATACGCGCCAAAAAACACGACCTCCGAGATACTGTGAAAAAAGTTTTGAGTAGCTTTCCCCTTGCCGCTGCATTGAGCGCGTTGCTGGTCGAGATCTACACGTCGTACGCAAACATATAAGTAATGCGTTTATTGGAAATTTTGTCCTCTAGAACTTTGCCATTTAGATGATCAAAATTCGAAGAAACCGCGCCACTTACCTAATTTTGGGTATTTTTTGCATATTAATAATATAATAATAGATTGGCGCTTACACATATGTTAGTGTTTGGCCGAGCTTCTCCTCCGGTTTGTGGCGTGCGCCTTGATGTTGTCACACAAAGCGGAGGGACCTACAGTTTTACGCCGACTCCGAACGGCGATTGTATTTTTATGAGAAGCTGTTTTTCATGGCAGAAATACACTCGGAGGTTTGCCATTGCCTGCCGAGGGACGACCGCTGTTAAGAAAAAACCTTTTTTCTATATTTTTTGCGATGTTGCATATTATTAGCAATAAATAATTGTTTAAAAAAATGATAGGCACATGAATTGGGCAATTGGGGGAAATATTTTCATTTTGTGTTCACCTAAACAGGAGATACCTAACTGCGTCAAAAAATGTATTCCTAGAATTTTTTCGTTGAAAAAATCTAATGCAAAATCCGCGCGTAAATCGTAAAAAGACAAAATCCAATATGGCGGGCACTTCCCATATCGCAATTGGCGGAAAAATTTTCATTTTGTGTTCACCTAAACAGGAGACACCTAACTGCGTCAAAAAATTTCTTCCCGGAATTTTTTCGTTGAAAAAATCTAAAAGTGATTGGGCTATGTAAACTTCTACTCAACATTGTCATGCTTTAACGCGGCTATTGTGAGTAGGTCATTAGCAAGCATTATTGCACGCAATTCTGTAAGAGAAATATAGCTAAAAATTACCATTGATTTTTAAGATTTTTTTTTGTGGAGGGTGAAGCGAATGTTCTTCCATATAACGCATGAACAAACCTGATTTATATGGAAGAAAATTGGCAACACCCTCCACAAAAAATTTAAAAAAATCAAAGGTAATTTTTAGCGACTTGAAACTTGCACTGCATACTCGAAATCTTTCTAGAAAACCTAATTTAAAAAATCGAAATTTTGATAAACATTTTTTAAGTTTAATTAGGTTTTGTGAACTTTGTGCAAGCTTTTATTTAATGTGGTATTTGATTTAGATCGACCCATATTTTAAATGAAAATTATTAACAATAAATAAAGATAAGTTGCCAATAGCATCATTTTGAATTTCGCTGCTATTATTTTGACCAAAACTGTATCTCTTTCTTTGTTTTTGAGGTTTTGTCAATTATATGTCTACGTACATACATGTTTCTGTATAAATTAAAAAGTGTTGTCATGAAATAAACGAAATTCATCATAAGTTTATAACTAATCTGAACATTACTTCTTTGAAATGGATCACCTTTGTTAATATATGGTTCGTAGTTGGGCTTTTAAAGCAAATCCTTTATTTCTCATTTGTTCCGTTCAATTTTTGTAAATCCCGTATTTTTTGGACAAATTATGCGTTTGCTCCGTATGGCTGGGGAAAAAATTGACGATATGTAATGCTGTGCGCTGGGTAACCGCTTACACGCAAAGCTCATTTAACAGATTCCTTATGTGACAACTCTGATGCAATGCCAAGTATGCATAACTGAGCCACAAGAGCTAGCAATCAGCGTTGCCGCGAGCTTGAAAAAAAAGTATCAGTTACCAAGCAGGAAGCAAACACAACTGTTCTTTTTAAACTTTTTAAAAACGAATAATACGAACTGAAAACGTTGCCCAAATACTGAAATTTAACGAAAACGTTGTTTCATAAGAGTTATTAGATGAAAAATATTTTTTATTTCGCCGATAAGAGTTATAACACAAGGTTTATTTTTCACGTTGCTTCATAGCAGTTATTATCCAACGTTTATTATTTACGTTGTCTTATAAACATTGTAAGATAAGAATATTGACGAAAACGGAGATGGAAAAGAAGATAAAGATGATGAAAATAAAAGAGGAGTGAAACAACTGTAACGTAACAACGTAAAAATAAAAGTTGGTTAAAAACTGTTTTAAAGCAACGTAAATCATTAACGTTGGGAAATAACTGTTGTCAATCAACGTTAAAAATAAATGTTTGGAAATAACTCTTATTGGCAATGGAAAACATATTTCTCCTGCATAACAGTTATCAGACAACATAAAAAGTAAACGTTGGGTTACAACCCTTATCGGCCAAATAAAACATATTTCTCATATAATAACTCGAACACCATTTTTCCCATAAAACTGATAACTGTTATGTTCTTGAATAAAATTGTATAGTTCAATTCATAGTTATTAAAAAAATATATATTTTACTTGCTTTAATAAAAACAGAGAATCTGTGTGCTAATTTGCATAACGAAAAACAAACTTATAGGGCCCCTAAACCATACAAAATCATTGCGCAACCCGAGACATGTGCAAGTCAATATTGTGGAAAAAAGAACATCAAAAAAGAATTTTATTTTTTCCTGTGCTCTTATCCATATTTTACAGTACGATCTAGGCACCAAAATCAAAAGTAGACTAAAAATTGCGCAATTATCGCCATGCGCAACACAAATTATTGTACAATAACACAAGCATGAGCAAAATGTCAAAATGATTTTGATTTGAGCGCAAAACTATGCAATTTGGTACAAACAACCCCATACACCACACAAACGACCGACGAAAGCCCGATATTGCCCAAATATTTTTTTTTTTTGTGTTTAGGGACCCTATAGCAGCGGCGTGTGCATAGAAGTTCCGGGCTGTATTTCCCTTATAAGAGTTACCAAATAAAACTTATAAATATCTACACATAAAATTTGAAGACTTTAAATAAAAAAAATAAAATTATTTTCCTTTAAACTAGTAATATTATTCGTAGTTTTCAAAAAATAATTTCTGCGAGCCAAAAGAATCAAAATGGGGCATTTGTGAACAAACAAGTATCAAAGTAACTGTTTAGGCCTGTAGACTAAACCAAGCAATTCAAGATGGATCCCCCTAATACTTAATTGTATACGCACACATGCGTGCACATTTATGTAGTAGGAAATGATCACAAAGTTCATACACTTTTCCTGCCAAATTAACCATCGTCAAGTTTCCCCTCCAAATAGTTGTACTGTATGGAGGTTGAACTTAATTTTACTGAAAACAGCGCGGGCACTTCTTTTCTGGAGATCTGCAGGGAACGACCATCAGCCACCACCCTACGTCACAATCACTTGAGGTAATATATTCCGTGTCTACCTTCTTGTTGGGTTCGACTTTGTATTTTTTAAGTAGGTATTCGATATTGTAATATGTGAGGGTTAATACTCATGCACCATACCAAGGGTTAACAAGCAATCGTCTTTTTGACATTTTGCTATTCTCTTTTTTTCGTTTTTGGTTTTTTTCATTCGCTATCTCTCGACTCAACTGACCGCAAGTTCGCCCGTATATTTATCGAAGAAATTTTTACAAAATATTAGAAAATAAATAGAATTTATATTTGAAACCGAAAGCAACCCGCACATCAGCTTTGGTATACCTGCGTCAGCACTCGTTTTGGAGTAAACCGCAACACCAAACTGGTCCTTCCGAGCCTGATTGCTCTCCCGCTCACAACGTGTTCAAGTATAAGCTGTAATTTTTATTATAATTGACCGAGTGTCCCCCGCTACAAAAACTTATAAAAATAAATATTTTGCGCTTAAATAAGAACTTTTATTGTGCAGCATTTACGTACATACATATATAGGAAAAGTGTGGTTCGAATTCAAGTTGCCCTACACTTGAAATTGTACAATCCCGACAACCCACAGTGACTTTAATTTGCCCTCTGCAAATTGCCTTACAATTGACATTGCATATTTCTTTGTCAATCATTCGCGCCTTTCATTTGCCCTCTGCAAGCAACGTATTTGTACAACATTCACCTTCAAACGACCCCTGAAGCAAAGTTAGCAATGTCTGCGTCTGTAAAAACCCGCGATTCGGCACTAAACGCCATTAAGAGGTACATGACAAAAAGCATAGATGATGCATTTGCCATGGACTTCGATAGCGTGGTAAGCTATTTGCAACTCCTCAATGAGCAATGGGCCCGTTTCAACACTGCCCAAGATGCAGTCGAAACATCTTGTGGACTCGACAACGCTGAAGTAGAGGAAAATGCTCGCATGCAAGGCGAAACTTGGAATGCTACTACCTTGGCCAACTTTAAACGTGTCCAGAAGGTTCGTATGGAACCGGCAACACAACCCGCAGCTACATCAGCGTCCGTGTCTGCAGCAATACGATTGCCAAAAATGGACCTACCCACGTTTGCTGGTGATTCCACGGAGTGGATATCTTTTTATGATTCGTTTTATTCATTGGTTGACGCCAACACTGCCTTGGAACCTGCTTAAGTCCCGCTACAAAGTCATGAAAGTCATCGTTGAAGCACAGCTCAGGGCGATAGCTGACATACGCAAGGCTACAAGTGACACCGCCGATGCCATTAGGAGTGTTCTCGATGCAATTCAACAACATATTCGAGAGCTCAAGGCATTGGGTCGCCCCGTAGAATTCTGGGACGATTGGCTGGTGCATGAAGTGGTCAACAAGCTCGCGTTTGAAACTCGAAAGCAGTGGGAGCTATTACCAATTAGTGCAGAGCCGCCGACGTTTGAACAACTGGAAACTTTTTTGGAGGTAAGATTACGCTCATTAACTATGCTTACTACGCCCGCTGCTCAGACACCCATGAGCCATTCGACTATGCCCAAATTAACACGCAAATCAGCCAAGGTGCTTCACGCGATATCGTAATAGAACCACTCGCGCTGCATGTACTGCAATGCGGCTCACAAGATATATTCTTGTGAAAAATTTCGCAGTTTAGATTCAACGGCAAAATCTAAATTTATAAAAGAAGCGAAAGCTTGTCTAAATTTCTTGAGTCCCGGGCATTACAAAGAGCGTTGTAATAGTACATCCGCGTGCCGAATATGTCACCAACGCTCATACGCTGCTTCACAATATCGCAGGCCCAACCACTAGCACCGCATCCACTCACGTCGTCGAGTCTACTCGCATCGCTCCGAATACCACCACCGCTTCTTCTGCTAACCAACCGACGAACACCGCGGCTGCATGCATTCCATCCTGTTTGTGTTCTGGTTCTAACCCGCTACCCTCAACGCAAATAATAGTCTTATTATCGACCGCTTTAGTAAGAGTTCGTGATTTTGCCGGTCAGTGGCAGACTTCTCGGTTATTCTTTGATTCTGGATCTCACGCCTTCTTCGTGACAGAGGCATGCGTGCAGCGTTTGGGCCTACCTCGCAAATTGTCGTCGGTATTCGTCACTGGAATCGGTGCATCGCAAGGAGGTCGCTGTAGGGGTGAGACGTTACTCTCACTTCCATCCTATAGGTCGGATGAATGCTACGCCATCAATGCATTGATTCTTCCGAAAATCACTAGTGATTTGCCAACGCAGTCTTTGAATGTTCTAGAATGGCCGCATATTCATGGGCTATTCCTGGCGGACCCGCATTTTATGAAGCTTGGCCGCATAGATATACTGGTTGGCATGGACGCGATGAATCAACTTATCTGCATCGATCTTCGGAAGGGTCCAACTGGCACGCCTATGGCACAGGGTGGATCTTGTTCGGGAAGTGTCGACAGTTCTGCTTCACCCCCGCTGCATTTACTGTCACTGCATTGCGATGTTCAACTGGATCGTGCGCTTACTAGGTTGTGGGAGTTGGAAGAGTCACCGCGAAAGCTGCATTTTACGCACGAGGAGCGCTTCTGCGAAGATCACTTCGTTTCTACGCATCAACGAATGCCGGACGGTCGCTTTGTAGTGGAGTTACCGCTGAAACCAAATGTGCCATTGGGTGAATAGCGAAATTTCGCTGTTCGCAATCTGTTACGCATCGAGCAAAGGCTGGCTCGTGGCAACGACTTGCTATCGCGTTACAACGATTTCATGTACGAGCTTATTGAGATGGGTCATATGGAAGCTATATCCGTGACGGCTAATAACGCGTATTATATGCCGCATCACCCAGTGATAAAAGAGTCCAGCGTTACGGCGAAGCTAAGGATCGTTTTTAACGCCTCTGCTAAAACCACCACAGGGAACTCCCTTAACGACGCGCTGTTTATTGGACCGCAACTCCAACAAGATCTCTACTCTATACTGATGCGTTTCCGAACGCATCGGTACGCAATAACCGCCGATGTTGCGAAGATGCACCGCCAAGTTTGTGTATCGTCGAATCACGTCGATTTGCAACGTATCGTTTGGCGCCCTGATCCATCCTCGCCCATTGTAGATTACCGCATGCTACGAGTAACTTATGGGGTGGCTGCCGCATCTCATTTGGCTGTAAAGGCCTTGCAACAAACTGCCAAGGCTTCCTCCAACAGTTGTGAAAAAGCCGTATCCGTGATCTTCAAGGACTTCTACATCGACGACTTGCTCACTGGTGCGTCTTGCAAAGCCCAACTTCAGTCACTACAACAAAATATCTCTGAAATTTTAAAAGGAGGCTTTGAACTGCGAAAGTGGGCGTCAAACTGCATGGAGTTGAACGAGCGTATTTCCAGCGGTTCTAAAAGCATATCGCATTACGTAGTTGATGGTAAGGATGTTCATGCTCTTGGTCTAAGATGGAACATAGAAGGAGATCACTTCACATTCGCAGTCCGCCTGAAACAACAACCCGCTATTCCAACCAAGAGAGCAATCTTAGCCGATGCTAGCACTCTTTTTGATCGTTTGGGTCTGCTTGCTCCAGTAACCATAAGGTCCAAGATGTGATTCCAGGATATTTGGAGTGCCTCGGTTGGATGGGATGACCTTATACCAGACTCAATCGCGAAAAAGTGGATTGATCATCGCTATCAGCTGCAGATACTTTCAGATTTGAAGGTAGATCGCTGGATCGGCTCTGGAACGGTTGGATCGTTCACGGAGCCGCATGTATTTGCTGACGCTTCCGAACGCGCTTACGCCACCGTTATATACGCGCGCTCTTTGCAAAACGACGGCAGGGTCACTGTAACGCTCGTCTCTTCAAAGACCAAGGTGGCGCCGCTTAAAACGACGACGCTGCCGCTCTTTGCGCTCCGCATCTCGCTTCTAAACTGGTGCGAAGTGTTTTGCTCAGTTGGTGCGATCCCCGCTACCCGCTGTATGCCTGGACGGATTCAACCATAACATTGGCATGGCTACAAGCACATCCCAGCAGATGGATGACTTTCATCTCCAACCGCGTTGCCGACATCCAAGAAATTCTGCCGACTGAGTGCTGAAATCATATTCGCTCTGAGTTGAATCCAGCCGACTTGCTTCTAGAGGTATATCCCCTGCCCAGCTACTGTGTCAGCAATTGTGGTGGACCGGCCCTGATTTTTTGAAGGGTACTGACCAGTTCTTGAAACTAACCTCCTCGAAACACCATATAACCGAATTGGGCATTCGAAACAAAGTTGTCGCCCAAGTGTCGAATGCGGGCGACCAGTGGTTGATACTCACGAAATACTCCCCGTATTCCAAGCTGCGCTGCATCATCGCTTACGCTCTAAGAGTCATTGTCAGCATCCGTCCCACTACTAAACGCTCTGCTGAAAAACGATATGGTCCTCTAAGCTGTGTGGAGTTATGCGAAGCCGAATTACGCTTGATTAAGTATACACAACACTTTTACTAATGAAATTTCTCCCGCTACGCAGTAGCCTGTTAAAACAGAAAAATACTTGGAGTTATAAAACCTTTGGTTATGTAAGAGTTAAAAAAATAGTATCTCGCGAATTTTCTGCTTTCTGAAATTAAAACATTATACAACACGCATGCAAATCTATAAGCGCTGTTATAAATTTTTTTCTGAAATTTATTTGCGTTTCTTGCTGTGATCTTAAATTTTAGTCATGGTAAAGAAAATCTTAAGAAGTGAGTTGTTTGACATTTTGAGAAGTGTTGCTGAAATTTCTGAAAGACAACAAGGTGTCCGTGATTATGTGATTAGTAAATTGAAAGAAGTATCTGATGAAAATGCTCGTTCCGAAGTAAATAAAGTAAATTCAGTAAATGACTTTAGATTCGTAATCAGCAACCCAGAAAACCCCGAGATACCCAGTTACATAGAAATCTACCGATTTTTTTTAATTTTCCTCCGCCATTTTGAATTTTTGGTAAATGACTTTAGATATGTAATCAGCGACCCAGAAAACCCCCAGATACCCAGTGTCATAGAAATCTACCGATTTTTTTTAATTTTTTTCGCCATATTGGGTCCGCCATTTTGAATTTTTGATAAGTGACTTCAGATTCGTAATCAGCGACCCAAAAATCCCCTAGGTAAGAAGTAGTGTAAAGACCCATCAACGAGTATTTGCTTAAATAGTTTCGTCCAGCTATATTTGCGATCCGAACCACTGTGAGCCGTTTCTTGACTCGAAAGGTGTTCTTCGGGTAGGTGGGCGATTGAAATCCGCAGATGTCGCAAACGATGTTAGGTATCAAATTATCTTGCCTAAAAATTCTCCGCTATCAAGGCTACTAATATCCAACATTCATTATTTTACGCTACATGCTGCACCCGCATAATGCAGGTCGTATTGCAACGATGTTACTGGGTGATTGGCGCCCGCAGCTTGATTCGGAGCATTTATCATAAATGCGTAAAGTGTACCTATTTAAACCGCAATGCCTCTACACAATCGATGAGTGACCTACCTGCGTCCCGTACTACCTACGATCGCTGCTTCACACGTACTGCGGTGGACTTCGCCGGCCCGTATTTGTACAAGTTCACGCATGGAAGGGGGGCGAAATCTACGAAAGGCTACATCTGTTCGTTCATTTGCATGTGTACTGGCGCAATGCACCTAGAACTCGTAGGAGACTTATCGTCGTGTTCCTTTCTCAACACGTTCAAGCGTTTCATTAATCGCAGAGGGTATTGCAAGACAATGTTCTCCGATAATGGTACGAATTTCGTCGGCGCTGAGAGGGAACTGCGGAGAAGATATGGACAGTGCATGGCAGACGACACACTTCAGTCATTTTTCGCCGGTTCTAACATAGAGTGGCGTTTCAATCCACCGACCGCACCTCATATGGGTGGATACTGGGAAACCGGTATCAAACGAATCAAGTACCACCTCAAACGCGCTTTGGGCGAAACTCTGCTGTCGTACGAAGAATTCAGCACTTTATTGGCAGAAGTGGAAGCCCGCGTGAACTCTCGCCCGCAAGTGCAGTCGACCTCGAAGCACTTTATCATCGGCGAACCGCTTACGTCGAAACCAGAACATGAGGGTCAAGGGTTCTGTGGAAATCTCCACCAGCGATGGCGGTTAATCTCTGCAATAAGACGGCACTTCCGGCGTCGTTGGATAGACGAGTATCTCGTCAGTTTGCAACGTCGAACCAAGTGGTTTCGACCGTCACGCAACTTCGCAGAAGGAGATGTTATAGCTGTCTTCAACGAGCCTACTCCCCTGACAAAGTGGATACTCGCAAGGGTCATTCGATGCCACCCTGGAGCTGATGGTCACGTGCGAGTCGTAACCGTGAAGACATATAATGGAGAATACATCCGGCCAATAGCTAAATTGTGCCTTCTTCCTACGAAAGGGGATCTATTTTGCGAAGATAAAGACTCGTAGTATAAGAACCAAATTTTGTTAAAGATTGTTTTCACACCTAATATGTTTTGACTAACGTTTCATTGTAAACTTAATTTGAACATATCATATGTAGATAGTTCAAGGGCGGCGGCATGTTTGGTTCAACTTTGTATTTTTAAAGTAGGTATTCGATATTGTAATATGGGAGGGTTAATACTCATGCACCATACCAACGGTTAACAAGCAATCGTCTTTTTGACATTTTGCTATTCTCTTTTTTCATTTTTGGTTTTTTCATTCGCTATCTCTCGACTCAACTGACCGCAAGTTCGCCCGCATATTTATCGAAGAAATTTATACAATATATTATTAAATAAATAGAATTTATATTTCAAACCGCGTTTCTTTAATTCGAAAAGCAACCCGCACATCAGCTTTGGTATACCTGCATCAGCACTAGTTTTGGAGTAAACCGCAACAACAATTCTATTTATTTACATATATACATATAGAAAAAACCACACATATACTCGGCGAAGAACTAATTCGTGGATTTATTTATTTCTTTTTTCCTTTAAATAACATTGGTACAACATACTGCGAACCACTGAGCTGTCAAGCAATCAGTATTGTTGCAACTCTGTTCATGGTCCATCTCCGGCGGGACCAGAAATAACCAGCACACTATTATACAGTCCACTGCATCTATACATAACTATACGAGCAAGGAACTATTGTTGTAACAGAACAACATTTACTTAAGTTCGTTTTGGCACAACCGGAGCACCACCTGTCCACAGCTCGAGCACTACCCACAGCAGCAACCAGCAATAGGATTTACACTGCAAAAATCGCTTTTCCAGAACACCATAACCGCATTTAAAACAGAATTTCCACCACACAAAAGCTCATTTTATATATGTAGGTACATACATATATCAGTAGCCGCATAACCACACGCAGATTATCGAATCCCGAATTAGCAAGGTACGTGGTTGACATTTTCATTGCACATACATATGCACATATACATTCATATACAGGGTGTCCCAGAAGTAACGTGCCAAACTTGAGGAGAAGGCAGGTGGGGTGGTGAGCTCTCTGATAAACAAAAAATTTTCAGGTAAAAGTGTCACCGTTTTTGAAATATTTAAATTTTCTTGAATTAAAGAAAAATCGTGCCTTTTCATGTATTTTATTTAACTGCATCTACAAAAAAGGCTATACTTAGTAAATTTTTTTTGTAACATACTTTCAGATAGTTACTTCTCCATACTCAAATGCAATGTGGTTAAAATATATTAAGGAGCCATTATAAAATTAGGACTACATTGCGATTTTTAAGTTTTTGATATTTTCTTCCCCAACTTTGACTATCTCGGGTGAAAAAAAAATGTACTGAGCTATAACTTTACATTACATAAAAAAATTGCTCATTTAATAAAGATTTCAGAAAGGTGCCACACTTACTGTTTTGAATAGAAAAAAAGTTATAGCCGCTTTTGTGGGTAAAGGACTGAGACACACTAGAATGTATTTAATAGATTTAAATTGAATTTGCTCTTGTTACCGTCAAATGACATGCTAAATAGTACCAAGGTACATTATTACCTGCTCCTGACATTATTTTGTGTTACTTACCGGAATTCGGACTAGAGTCTATAACAAGGGCTATATCTATCAACATTTTGTGTGAAGGATGGGTTCACGTGAAATAAGATATACATGAGTTGTTTGAAGAAAAATGTATTCATTTATTGATAAAATATGCTCAAATTGGCGACCTTCTACTCTAATACAAGCTCGGCACCTTTTAAGAAAAGACGCTTTTAGAGATCTTAAACTCAATTGGGCTATCTCAGCAGCAGCTCCATTTATTTGTTCCCGCAAATGCTCTTCGTTTTGAATTGTTTCTGAATAAATTTTGTCCTTAAGACAGCCCCAGTAGAAAAAATCTAATGGATTCAGGTCTGGCGATCGAGCGGGCCACGTGAATGGCCCGTATCGTCCAATCCATCGGCGAGGATAAGTTTCGTCTAAATGAGCTCTTACTTCACGCCCGTAGTGAGCAGGGCACCCGTCATTTTGCAGCCATAGTCTTCGCCGCAGGTTTAAGGGTACATCTTCCAAAAGAGTTCGAAGCCCTTCCTGAAGGAACTCTAAATAACTGTGAGAGTTGAGCGTTGG